TACACGCTCTCTGCTAATCCCTAGGTACCTTCCCCTCTTTCATACATTTATTAAACAAAAAATACCAACCACTCCAACAAAATATCCTCCCCAGCTTTTAACATTTCTGTCATGATCCCATCAGTTCCTGCTGCTTTACCCCCTTTCATTCTACGCAATGCCTCCCACACACTCACATACTGCTTTTCTTCATTCCTAAAAGATGTTATACCTCCCTGACCAGTGCATGAAATTGCTGCCTCCCTTTCATCATCGACATTTAAAAGTTCCTCAGAATATTCTGGCCATCTGCCCAATACCTCCAGTTCCCCATCTACTAACTCCCCTACTCTGTTTTTAACTGACAGATCCATTCATTCCCTAGGCTTTATTAACTTGTTTATCTCACTCCAAAATTTTTTCTTATTTTCATCAAAATTTCTTGCCAGGGCCTCTCCCACTCTTTCATCTGCTCTCTTTTTGCACTCTTCACCTTTTTTTACTCTCCATATACTCTGCTCTTCTTATAACACTTCTGCTTTGTAAAAACCTCTCATAAGCTACCTTTTTCTCTATTATAACACCCTTTACTTCATCATTCCACCAATCACTCCTCTTTCCTCCTGCACCCACCCTCCTATAGCCACAAACTTCTGCCCCACATTCTAATATTGCATTTTTAAAACTATTCCAACCCTCATCAACCCATCCCCCCCCACTACTCATACTTGCACTAGCCCACCTTTCTGCCAATAATTGTTTATATCTCGCCCTAACTTCCTCGTCCCTTAGTTTATACTCTTTCACCTTTCTCATACTTTCTGTTGCCATTTTCCTTTTGTCCCATCTACCTCTTACTCTAACTGTAACTACAACTAAATAATGATCTGATATATCTATTGCCCCTTAATAAACATGTACATCCTGAAGCCTACCCATCAACCTTTTATCAAACAATACATAATCTAACAAACTACTTTCATGACGTGCTATATTATACTTTGTATTACTTAATACCAAACCTTTTTGAACATACAGATCAATTAAAGGCTCCCTATTTTCATTTGCCCCTGGCACCCCAAATTTACCTACAACCCCCTCCACAACATTTTTACCCATTTTAGCATTGAGATCCCCAACCACAAGTACTCTCTCACTTGGTTCAAAACTCCCCATGCACTCACTCAACATTTCCCAAAATCTCTCTCTCTCCTCTACACTTCTCTCTTCTCCAGGTACATAAACACTTACTATAACCCACTTCTCACATCCAGCCCTTATTTTACACCACATGATTCTTGAATTTATACATTTCTATTCCCTCTTTTCCTGCCATAACTTATCCTTCAACATTATTGTTACTCCTTCTTTAGCTCTAACTCTATTAGAAACCCCTGACCTAATCCCATTTATTTCTCCCCACAGAAACTCTCCTACCCCCATCAGCTTTGTTTTGCTTAGAGCCAGGACATCCAGCTTCTTTTCACTCATAACATCCACAGTCATCTCTTTCTTATCATTTGCACTACAACTACACACATTCAGACATCCCACTGATGGTTTTCTTCTTTTTCTTTTTAATAGGCTATACGGGAAAAGGGGTTACTAGCCCATTGTTCTGCCCCCCCCATCAACTTATCGGTTTTCTAAACCATTTTTATAATAATCTGCAGTTTTAAGTTGCTCTGAAGATATTGCAATAATTCTTTTCCATTTGGTTGAAAGGCTAAGTTTTGTAATCTTCTTGACCTTGTGTATTTTTAAAGTAAGTTTTAATTAATTTTGAAGAAAGAAGCTGAGTTACTGGTGCAGTCATTGTTGGAACTGTTAAAATTAATTCATAATGGTGATTATCTTAACTGTAAGCCTTTTCCAAGTCTTTCAGCTATATAAAATTAAAAATCTCTGTTATAGTTTTGTTTCTGAATTCTTCTGATATATAAACATCTCCTAAGTTTTGATTTCAGTGGGAAAGATTAAAAGGAAAGGTTATAATTGCACTTCAGTGACTGAAAGCTATCTCTGGAAATACTTTTATATACTTGCAGAATGGTGGTGAGTGCAAAAGCTCTAAGTATCTTAATGTATCCAAAATTGCAAATCCTGTACTAACCTGGTTATATATCGTGTCATATATTTTTGCATAAGTAAAAGGACACGTATGCAATTAATGTGACATTTTATTGGGGCAACGGTTCGCTTTTCAGATTAGTTTGCCACACCTCTTGAGAAACTGTAGCCAAACAGATTCAGTGTCCATTGCTTCCACTTTTATATCTTATCTAATGCAATGAACAGTTGAAATTATCTCTGACCATACATCACCATGCCACCACCCTTCATGTTTACCCAATCAGTGTGGCATAATTTATAGCCTTGTATGTGGCATTCAGAAGGTATCTCTCTGACTTTCAAGTTGAAAAGGCAGAAAACCAAAATAATATTTCCCATAAGAATTAATGTAAATCCAATTACTAATCCACTTCAGACATCCAAAAATATTAGCAAAAAATACATTTTTTAAAGATTGACTATAGTTTTACATACAGAAAACAATGAGTATGTACATTCACTACTTACATTAAAATATTTATAGTCTTAATGTAGGGCAAGAGGTGAGTAGTATGTATTTGTAGAAAGTCAATGTAGGCAGCGGTAGATGTAGGTACAGTGCACGTATGTAGCCCCACTCCCCCCCGGGCTACACTACACAGTCATATTATTACACTATACAGCCATATTATAACCACGTTCACTGAGTTTAATCGTTTCTAACAACTACCTTTAGATGCCATCAGAGGGAGAAGTAATGAATAATTCATGCTGAGAATTGCAAACAAATGCACATGAAGGTGGTTACTGGGTTACTGGCAGTTACCTGAATTGGTGAAAACGTAATTTTTATTTGCCACCCGACTCTCCACTCGATAGCATATAAACATTGCGTGTTTATATACTATATGCTATGTAATGTGTTTCTTATATAATTTTGAAGAAAATATCATAGATGGATTAATGAAAATGTCTATATTAACCTAAAGTAAGACATTTAATGTGCCCAAGAGGGATTATTTTTAAACATACACTGCATATAAACATTGCATGTTTTTATATAGTATGTAACATGTTTCTTTGGGCCTATTGTGGCTTATTTCGCAGTTGCACTCCCTGCCTCCCTGCTACATTCCCTCCCTGCCTGCAACACTCCCTGCCTTCCTACTACACTCCCTGCCATCCTGCTTCACTCCCTGCATGCCTGCTACACTCCCTGCCTTCCTGCTACACTCCTCTCTGCCAGCTACACTCCCTCCCTGCCTGCTACACTCCCTGCCTTCCTGCTATACTCCCTGCATGCCTGCTACACTCCATACCTCTATGCCTGCCTGCCTTGATTTCTATCGTGTTTTTCACTTTCTTTACCAAAGGAACTTTACTAGGAACTTTCTTTGGGGCCATGGTTACTTATTTCGCAGTTGCACTTAATCAATAACCACCAAAAACAATGGATTATAGCGAAATGTTTGGACGAATGAGCAGAAGCTTGCTCACTCGCCCAGAGACAGCCACACTGACTCAGGAACGGGCAAGCGGCTGGAGGTGGATGTGTCCAATACGGCCAATAAGCGAAATAACTGCCAATAACTGTAAGCCAAAAAACCGGCCAGTAACTGAGAGTCCACTGTAATATTTACTCCACTGGAATCTATGGTAATTATACATGCAGAAATATTGTATCAAAGGATACGATAGGCCTAGTGCTCACCTGAACACCCTGATGATCTCTCAATTTGAACTGGTGAAACGGTCGCTGGTGGCTGAGTTGCTGCTATGTGTGCAACTATATAGTGAGGGTACAAGAGTGCATACTGATGCGCCTTTGTCAGTAACTGTTGGTATAAATAAAAATGGCTGCTTCAACTGTTGTTGGGCCACCATATATGCTTGGCAATATTTGACACTATAAGTACATAACATATGGTAAATATGATTACTGGTACATAGTAATAAAGTGAAAATACCCAGCATGTGCTAACAATAGCGTAGTACGTATATGGCAGCATTATTTTAAAGTGCCTACCATAAATGACGCTGCTTTGTGACTTCGGTACTTCAAGAAATAAAAAAGAAAGGTGTTACCTAAGGAGAAATGTTGTATTCTGTCAATATCCCAGTACAGTATCCGTATTTCTTAAATAGCTTGTCTCAAAACACTATTAATTTACTGTAATTTTGAAACACTGGAATTGCTTTAGTTTCAGTGGCAAGGCATTGGTCATAACTGGAAGAGCTACAGCTCACCCCACACCCCAAACTTATAGCTCCTGTCATTGACCTTCAGTTTATAGGATGCAAGGTGGTTTTTGGAGACATTTTATGAAAAAAAAAATGTGTCTAATAAGCCGTGAAATACAGTAAGCAACTTCTTCGTACATATGCTGTGTTCTTTTCAAGATTGATGGACTGATTATATCGACTCCAGGCTGAGGGACTGATTACCTCAAACTCCTTCTGTTCTTCACTCTTCTCCTTTGTATGGACTGATGCAGCCACTGTGTGGCAAAATGTTTCCACAATATACCCAAGTATTGCACATGTCTAATTCATATACTGTATGTTAGATTGATCTAAATCCTCTTTACATGGATATGGAAAGAAGCGGCTGAATATAATTTAAATCATTAGTTTTCCTCTTACATCTGATTGTGGCATATCAATTTACCCTTTATGGAGGTGGCAGAGGATAATACATATTGAATATTACATATGCCAGAGACCTATTTTCAAGTCAAGCACACTTCTGCCTTGCCAATTTCTAGTCTGGCATCCTCTTGAAATTCACTGATACATATTGGTACTAAGTGAAACACAGAATGTTATATAAAATAAAATAATGCATTAACTAAACAAATATTTTATTTTTAATTTTATAGAATAAGCAATGCTTACCTTGCTTCTTATGAATGCTTACCTTTGATTTATAAGTGATCTACATATATTTTTAATGTACAATACTTTTGCAGAAACCCCTTGTGTATCCAGCCTCTGCTGGACAGTCTTTTCATACCCTATGTGGGAGTGGAACTGGGAGAAGCTGGTGACCCTGAGTCTCCCAATGGGTGTTCTCAGTGTCGCATTCTCTCAGAAGGAGCGGTGGCCTTTCTTGATCAGATGGTCAACTTCTTTAATCATGTTCATCAGTATGGGCAGTGTGAGGTCTCCAACAGGCTCAATCCTGCCCGTAATTACAATTATAGAGAAGGATGTGTTATGGCACTTCCACATATAACAAGGTGACTAATTTTTTATCTACATTGTAGCATAAAAGGTAGTTATTTTTATACTATTTTTCTAACGTTTTAAATAGTTTATCCTCAATGGCTCCATATTAATTCATAATTACAGAAATAATTTTCAGTGTTTTAAGAATTAAATCAGTTGTTGAATTAGTTTAATTTTGTATATTAATCAATTTGATGTTGCATACTGTATTTAAATTCTCATTTCTTTTCATGTTTTCAAAATTTGGTTGTTTAGATAACCTGTTTATCAAGTTCAAAATATTGACTTTATTTTTTCAAACCACTGGTTATTATGTTTGTTGTTGGTATTGTAGTTTACCCAGGACTAAGTTCTTTGAGTAACCGTAAAAGTAATTTACTATAAACACATTACCAGTCTGAATCAATAGAGTTTTATAGACTGATTTGTTTATTCATGAATGCTTACCATGGTTAATTTGTAGAAAATGTTTGTTATAGATGCCCCAAACTTTTACACGACTTCATGCTGGGTTACTCAGCACTGGACTTGCTGATGAATGTTCTGCACTCGGAGAAGCCTCCTAATGAAGCCAGCTACATGTATGCCACTGCAGCCATCTCAAGATTAGCCAAAACACTTCAGGTAACTCATCTTATTAGTCCTGCAACCTACATTCATTCACCTTTTTTTTAATATATATATGCTTACACATTTTGCATTGTGAGCATGTTAGGTAGGACTGAATGGAGTCAAGTGTTTTTTTTTAATGGATATGCTGTTGAAGTATGAGTGAGGTAACATTTATGAAGAGATTCGGGGAAACAAGTTAGCTTGCTTTCCTAGAGGCAGGAAGGGTTGGTGATGTTGCAATCAGATAATATTTTGCATTGTGATGCCAGCATACTTTTAGCTAGACTGATTGATTGAATGATGGTGAATGTTTAATTCTTTAGGTGACCCTGCCTTGGCAGGAGACAGTCATTGAGGTAAAAAAAAAATTAAAACAAAACAATTGAATTTAAACAGAATAGGTTGTTCTAAATGTAAGTTCAGCTATATAAGGAATACTATATGCTAGCTACTTAACTATCATTTAGACCTTATGAATCATCCTAGTGTATTTTGTAGAGCTGGCATTAATTTTTCTAACAAATACAGTGGACCCCCGCCTTACGATCAGCTCCCAACTTGAACAATTATGTAAGTGTATTTTTGTAAGTGTTTTTGTATGTGTATTTTTGGGGGTCTGAAACGGATTAATCTAATTTACAATATTCCTTATGGGAACAAATTCATTCGGTAACAGCACCCGAACAGACTTCTAGAATGAATTAATATCGTAAGTCAGGGGTCCACTGTATTAGGAAAAATATTATTTGTGGTTTTAATGTTATTTCATCTTTTCATTGATTCTTGCAGCTAGATAATCGTTTTAAACCTGTCAAGTGTGCTGTGTGCCTGCGACAAGGGAAGCACACCCCTGAGGAAGTTGCCGATCATTTCAAAATGCAGCTTAATAATGATAAAATGTTAAATGACAAGCTCACTAATTTGCTTGTCCTTGGCAATTCTTTAGGATCTGAAAAATCAGAATCCAAAAAATGCAAGTGGAAAGACGATGAAGTTAAGGATGTGACATTCAAGCTGGAAGATGGTAGCACAGTATCAGCTAACAGGGAGTTTTTGTCAGAGAAGAACGAAGTGCTAAGGGGAATGTTGATGGGGTCATTTGTCGAGGGTGAAAGTTCGTTTGTTAAACTAGCACTGAAAAGCAAGTCATCTCTGGAAATGCTCATACATTTTTTGTATGGCTGTCGATGTGATTTCATGGAAAGTAAGAATGTGACAGAATATATTGATCTCGTGTTCCTTTCTCAAATGTACTTGGTGGAAGATTTGCATTCCTATGCCATGCTTAAATTGTTGGATTCCATCAGTGATGGTGAAGATATCATCAGGATTTATGAGAGTGGTGTAGGACACATTGATGAAAATTTAATTTTGCAGGTGCTGTGCATAGCACTTGTTAGGCCAATGAAGACATGGAAAAGAGCTCGCTGGCTGAAAGAGCTCTTCCAGTCCAGTCATTCTGAAGACATTGATCATAATATACGTATGATTATTCATCATCCTTTAGATATGAATCGATTAGTTTGCTGCTGTGATCAGTCACAGTGTTTATATAAGGTCAGTGAAAGTGAATATACAAAACTGTGTTGATTATCTAATGGACAAAAAGTATGTTGAGTATTTTTATTGTACAATAAATTTGGCGAATTTTTGCTAATTAACTTCAGCGTTAAAGTAGCTATACGTATTATTCTGAAAGCTAAAGCCAAAAATATTATAGGTACTTATAAAAAGATATGTTGTAGTTAAGTCTTTTTATTACATATTTTAAGTTCAGTGTTTATAGAGAGCACATTAGTTACTTGTGTACTATTATTCTGTGTGTGAATCACTATCTTTACTTTTGCTGTTTACCTTGTGAAGGGCCCCCATATTATAAGTAATCTTGTTTAATTTTCTATGTATTATACTTGGTTGTACATATTTATAATCATTGGGAAGTATTCCCCCATTAAACAAGATGTATGCTCTGTCAAGATGTATGCTCTGTCCTTTGTATGCTGAGGACTGAATAATCCTGGTTATGGGACATCCTTGTTTCTTATTTACCGGCGATTAAATCATATTCCCCACACAGTTGTAGAGACCCTCTGTTTAGTGGACTGTTGGGGAGCAGGTGGTCAGTAATGGAAATTGTAGTAGATAGAGAAAAGATTGTTTTTTGTGACTTTGGAAATCTGGAACAAAATCTATTGGACCAGTAGATCTGGAAACAATGGGCAAGGTCCTATGGTCACAGAATTGCTGATAATGAACAGTACAGCACCCAAAGGACTGGCCATTTGCAAATCCACTGATCCACTGGATTGTGTTTTATATCTCCAAAGTCCACTAAATGGAGATCCATTAAACTGGAGGTTTACTGTACTTTAATGTGTGAAACATTTTAGTGCAGACTTCAGTGTATTTGATGGTACTAAGTCCTGGAAGTGGGAAGTACAGTGCCTGCCCTCTGAAGAGGGGTTTAGGATGTTTGCTGTTTAGAGTGACATCCTTTCTTAGAAAATATCTGTGTTCAAGACCTAAAACAAAAAATGAAAGTTTCTCTTTTTAAATTTAGTAATGTATACAGGAGAAGGGGTTACTAGCCCCTTGCTCCCGGCATTTTAGTCGTCTCTTACCACATGCATGGCTTACGGAGGAAGAATTCTGTTCCACTTCCTCATGGAGATAAGAGGAAATAAATGAGAACAAGAACTGTTAAGAAAATAGAAGAAACCCCAGAGGGGTGTGAATATATAATATATATGCTTGTACATGCATGTATAGTATGATGAAAGTGTAAGTAGAAGTAGCAGGATGTACCTGAAATCTTGCTATATTTGCAAATTTCTTGAATAAGTCATTTAGGGGTTATGTCTTATGTCAGCTTCAGAAAATTAAAAAGTCTGGAGGATGGTGGTATATCTAACAGTCATTTCAGCAACTGTCTGTAAAAAAAATTACATAACATAAACAGTGTGGAAAGCTATTCTTTCTCTGGGTAAATATAACATTCTCAAATTTTTCATTTTACTTTTAGGCATATAACAGTATATTCAAAGAAATTCCCAACTAACCCACTGTTTAGAGAGGAAATTTTAAGAAGTGTTTTGGTCTGTCCTGAAGTATTAGTTGTGATTGAGAGATAAAAAGGGAAGAAAGCCAAATGACAGGTCAGGTGAAGAGGCAAGGAGAAAGCCAAGATCAGGTTCTAAAGGTTAAAGCAAGGTTCTGAAGATTAGAAAGGCAAGTTTTCCTTTCAGGTACAGGTTTGGCACTGGTTTTTAATATTTTAATAATTGATAGAAACAAAACTGGGGACTTAGATTCATGTTAGAAATATTTGGTATAAGAGTTTAACAAGACAGTATCTGTGAAGGCTACTGTCCCTGTTCACATAGCAGTAAGTAGGTACCTGGGTGTTAGTCAACTGATGTGGGTTCCATCCTGGGAAACAAGATTAAAGGCCCCCAATGGAAATAAGACACAGTCCGTGTTGACACACTAACTTTCTTGGGTTATCCTGGATAGCTAACCCTCTAGGGTAACAATCCAAACAAATTTGATTTTATCTTAAAGATTAATTTATCAGAGAACCAGCTGTGTGTTCTTTGAAGTTAGACAGAAAGGAAAAGCCTCTTTTGCCTACTGTATGTATTACAGAGACAAGAGGAGTAGGAAATAGAGCAGACACTAGAAATTTAAGTGAAAGATTACTACAGATTACTACAAAGTGCATTACTGTGGTTTGACTAAATGCAAGTTTAAAGTCTAGAGAATAAAGGATGGTGTTAAAGATACTTGAAATGGAAATCCAGTTAAGAGAAGACAAAGTGCACAAGTTTTCACATCATTGTGTTTTGGAGAGAAAATCCATTTCCCAGTCATAATTCGTCACTTGTGAGATCTCTGCCTGCACTGTCAGTCTGAAGTAATGACTAGGCTTAATCATATTATAATTGTGCTTCTGATCTATGTGACTGGAGTTATCGTCTTTCTTGGATCCAGTCTGATTGCCTCCTATTCCCAGAGCACTCTGTGAACCTAAGAAGTTTAGCATATCTTTGTGAATATAATAATAGTGATGAAAAGAGCTGGTCGTCTTCACACTGTCACTGTTAGTTGTGGGTAAAGAGGGCTCTCTATTAATTCAGATTTTATTTGACTCTTTCTGATTGCAACTGACTTGTATTGACTGAATTTTTTTTTGTATTTTAGCTCCCACTCTCGGCACATTCCATTCTACTTTTAACCCTTTACAGTATGTATTATATATTGACTTTAATTTTGTTATTTGAATGTTTGTATTGTTATTATAAAAAAGTACAGTAAGGCCCAGCTTTCATGGCGGGTTAAGTTCCTGACTTCCACCAAAAAGAGAAAATTGCTTGGCCTGGTGGCCTGGTGGTTAATGCTCTCACTTCACACGGCGAGGGCCTGGGTTCGATTCCCAGCCAGAGTAGAAACATTGGACGTGTTTCTTTCAACCTGTTGTCTATGTTCCCCATCAGTAAAATGGGTACCTAGGTGTTAGTCGACTGGTGTGGGTCGCATCCTGGGACACTGACCTAAGGAGGCCTGGTCACAGACCGGGCCGCGGGGGCGTTGACCCCCGGAACTCTCTCCAGGTAAACTCCAGGTAGCCTCTTTTCATGTTCAAATGCATATAAAAGCCTGATAACATGCTTGATGCATCATATATTGAGTGTGCAATAGAGCTAAGCCTAAAAAGAAAGATACGAAAGCATGTGACTGGTTTGATGGTCAGTCCACACAAGTAAAAGTTTTTTCATGTTAGCAGTACAGTCATCAGGTTTTCTTATAGCTAGTGTTCATTGGTGTAACACTTAATTTCCTTCAACACTTTCTCCTTAAAGTTCACAAATGTGCTAACTGTTTCGCAAGCCACACCTAACTTACGTCCTTGCTCACGGAATTTAATCACTTGTAACTTGGCATTTAAAGTAAGAGGCTTATGACTCCTCATTTTTATCACAGCTACCCTTAGATGCCATTGTAATTAACACTAAAATTTTATATAGTACAATGGTACCTTGAGTTACGAGCTTAATTCGTTCCAGAAGGCTGTTCGAATGCTGATACCGAACGAATTTGTTCCCACAAGGAAAAATGAAAATTAGATTAATCAGTTTCAGACCCCCAAAAATACACTTACAAAAGCACTTACAAAAGTACACTTACATAATTGTTCGAGTTGGGAGCTGCTCATAACTCAAGGTACCACTGTATATGCATAATAACTTTAAAACATTTGAAAATGGTAAATTGCGAGAATACAGAGAGATGCAGGGCATACAAATGCTGTAAACAAACTGAATCACTGAGAGTAAAATGGCACTGGATGCCCTTCCCTGACTCAGCTGTTGAGTGTCAGGCTGAAAAAGCGGAACAAGCGCCGAACATAATGAACAATAGGTATAATTGAGAGTCACTGAATTAGCGGAATACTGAAAAGTGGAATGCTGTAAAGCAGGGCCCTACTTTATAGTACTGAAATGTAAGAGGATTTTGCTAAGTTTTACAGTATGCCTCAGTTAACCTTGGGATTTGATTGAAAACTTTTCCTTCTTATGTACGACCCCCACAGAGCATTTCTGTGTAAATGAATTGTATGGATAAATGTCAGAGTTCATTGTCATAAAAATTATCTTTCATTCTTATAGTAAATGCTGTAATTACCAGCAGAATATTCTATCTACATTGTTGTCTGAGCCATGTGTGTCGTAAGAGGTGACTGAAATGCTGGGAGCAAGGGGCTAGTAACACCTTCTCCAGTATATACATTACAGCCTCTCCTCACTTACTGTTGAGGGAAATGCTACAAGCTACATCAAAGATTAAATAGTGGACTGAAATGGGACTGAGCTTGATAGACAGCTTTCACCTACACAGCCGTCCCTGCAGGCAATGTCTTAAGAAGCTGTCGTATGCCATCCCTCAAGGGCTGGAAATTAAAATATATTATGAGTTTAATTACCCTTAGCGGGTGTTATGTCAGTATTTTCATTACTGAATACTGACTGGATCTAATGAATCCTATATTCACGTTTGTGGGCTAAAAAGCCCGTATGTCACTGGGGTATATGGTAATCTGTTCATCGTATATAATTCTCAGCTGTGTAGTCAATGGAATCATCACACGCTAAACAGACTTACCTGGGTTTGTGTATCGGACCCTTACACCCGGATATCATTAACTTGATTGAAGAATAGTGTCTTTGAGAATGTCCACGTCTTCCACAGTCTGGAAATACACAGCCTGGTACGCTATGTTCCACAAGGTTTGTCTTTTGTGGTAATGTCATTAAAGAAGCTCAACACACTTCTTGGTAATAGGTTTATAGTTAATATGGAGATTGTCTGAGGTACAGCAATGCTCAATTTACTTCCTTTGTTCATTCTTAGCATGAAGTGGTCTTTACTGCACCATTATATATTGCAATCTAGCCGACGGCGTCTCCGTCTACCCCCAGCTTCCCAACACACAAAAGAAGTGCTGATAAAGCATATTTCCCCTGCTTGCCAAACTTCCACTATGAAGCAATGCAAAATGCTTGATTCTTGCTGTCTTAAGCATAGACAACAATGTACATCTTTAACATGGTAATAAAGTGGGTGCAGGATTTTCCTTAATAGTCCTGCTAAGGTAAGAGATTGATTGTCTCTTATTTAAACTACACTACTTGAACACTGGTCTCTTGCAAAGAGCCACATGACCCTGTCACATGCTGGTACTGCATCTGGGATCAATTGAAGTGTTGACGCAGAGATGCAGAAGCAAGACGCCATCAGCCCCTTTGGAGGGCTGAGTCCCTCAGAGAGCTGAAGGGGTTGGTACCCCCCTCCTTGAGAAATTTCTCCACACTTACCGACATACTCATTTACTAACGACTCGGACTTACGATGGGCTCTCTGACCAGCATGCATACCTAAATAGTGTATACTAGAGCTGATTTCTTTCATTCTGTTTATTACAATATACACTACATTACTGTATAAACATATAAAAATATACCAGAAATGTTATAAATGGTGCAAAGGTGACATTAAAACAATATCGAAGATGGTTGACACAAACTCACTACCATTATAATAATATGTTCCTCACTTAACGACGAATTTGTTTACCGACATGGTCTTAGGAACAGAACTCCGTCGTTAAGTAGGAGAGGCTGTACTAATTTTAGAGAGAAAAACTTTTCTTTTTCTTTTTATATCACTCTACCTCAGTAGGATATGGCCGGTTTGTTAAAAAAAAAAGTGTCTGAATGAGGGAACTTGGCCAATTATACATGGTGATGTCATAAACATGTTAAAAGTATACACAAAGTAGTGTTTAAAGTGACATATCTTTTCAGAGGCAGGGTAAATCAGGGCTTGATCTGATTTACCTTCGCTTTAATGATAAGTTTTTATTATTAACACATCGGCCGCTTCTCACCAAGGCAAGGTGGACCGAAAAAGAAAAACTTTAATCATCATTCACTCCATCACTATCTTGCAAGAGGTGTGTTTACACTACAGTTATAAAACTGCAACACTAACACCCCTCCTTCAGAGTGCAGAGACCGTACTTCCCATCTCCAAAACTCAAGTCCAGCCTGCTGGTTTCTGTGAATCCCTTCATAAATGTTACCCTGCTCACACTCCAACAGCACTTTAAGTCCTAAAAACCATTTGTCTCCATTCACTCCTATCAAATACGCTCATGCATGCTTGCTGGAAGTCGAAGCCCTTCCCTCCAACTTTTCCTAGGCCGACCCCTTCCTCGTCTTCCCTCCATTACAGATTTATACACTCTTGAAGTTATTCTATTTTGTTCCATCCTCTCTACATGTCCAAACCACCTCAACAACCCTTCCTCAGCCCTCTGGATAATAGTTTTGGTAATCCCATACCTCCTCCTAATTTCCAAACTACGAATTCTCTGCATTGTATTCACACCACACATTGCCCTCAAACATGACATCTCCACTGCCTCTAGTCTTCTCCTTGTTGCAACATTCACCACCCATGCTTCACATCCATATAAGAGTATTGGTACAACTTTACTCTTTGCTTCCACAGACAAAGTTCTTTGTTTCCACAGACTCTTAAGTGCACCACTCACCCTTTTCCCCTCGTCATTTCTATGATTCACCTCATCCTTCATAGACCCATCTGCTGACACATGCACTCCCAAATATCTGAATACATTAACCTCCTCCATACTCTCTCCCTCCAATCTGATATCCAATCTTTCGTCACCTAATTTTTTTGTTATCATCACCTTACTCTTCTCTTACAACCCCATCTATAAATATATTGAACAACCACAGTGACATCACACATCCTTGTCTACGGCCTACTTTTACTTGGAAATAATCTCCCTCTCTCCTATATACTCTAACCTGAACCACACTATCCTCATAAAAACTCTTCACTGCTTTCACTAAGCTACCTCCTTTACATACACCTGCAACATCTACCACATTGCCTTCCTATCCACCCTGTCATATGCCTTTTCCAAATCCATAAATGCCACAAAAACCTTTTTACTCTTATCTAAATACTGTTCAACTATATGTTTCACTGTAAACACTTGGTCTACACCCCCATACTGTTTCTAAAACCTCCTTGTTCATCTGCTGTCCTACTCTCTCTTACTCTTAATTCTTTTAATAATAACTCTGCCATACATTTTTACCAGGTATACTGAGCAGACTTCTTCTTTCAACACACCGGCCATATCCAACTGAGGCAGGGTGGCCCAAAAGGAAAAACGAAAGTTTCTCCTTTTACATTTAGTAATATATACAGGAGAAAGGGTTACTCAGCAGACTTATTCCCCTAAAATTTTTGCACTCACTTTTGTCCCCTTTGCCTTTATGCAAAGGATCTATGCATGCTCTCTGCCAATCTGTAGGCACCATATCCTCTTCCATACATTCATTAAATAATAGCACCAACCATTCCAAAACTATTTCTCTACCTGCTTTTAACATTTCTATCTTTATTCTGTCAGTCCCAGCTGCCTTACTCCCTTTCATTCTACCCACGACCTCACAAACTTCCCCCACACTCACAACTGGCCCCTCCTCACTCCTACAAGATGTTATTCCTCCTTGCCCTATACTCAAAATCACAGCCTCCCTGTCTTCATCAGCATTTTACAATTCCTCAAAATATTCCCTCTATCTTCCCGAGACCTCTAACTCTCCATTTAATAACTCTCCTCTCCTATTTTTAACTGTCAAATCCATTCATTCCCTAGGCTTCCTCAACTTATTAATCTCACTCCAAAGCTTTTTCTTATTTTCAACAAAATTTGTTGACAACATCTCACCCACTCTCATTTGCTCTCTTTTCACATTGCTTCACCACTTTCTTAACCTTTCTTTTTCTCTCCATATACTCTTCCCTCCTTGTATTACTTCTTTGTGAAAACCTCTCATCTGCTAACTTTTTCTTTCTTTACATCATCATTCCACCAATCGCTCTTTTTCCCTCCTGCACCCACTTTCCTGTAACCACAAACTTCTGCTGAACACTCTAACACTACATTCTTAAACCTACCCCATACATCTTTGACCTCATTGCCTATATTCTCACTAGGCCATCTATCCTCCAATAGTTGTTTATATCTTACCTTAACTGCCTCCTCTTTTAGTTTATAAACCTTCACCTCTCTCTTACTTGCTGCTTCTATTTTTCTTGTATCCCGTCTACCTTTTACTCTCACTGTAGCTACTACTAAAAAGTGATCTGATATATCTGTGGCCCCTCTATAAACATGTACATCCTGAAGTCTACCCAACAATCTTTTATCTACCAATACATAGTCCAACAAACTACTGTTACTATGCTCTACGTCATATCTTGTGTACTTGTTTATCCTCTTTTTCTTATAGTATGTATTACCTATAACTGTACCCCTTTCTATACAGAGTTCAATCAAAGGGCTCCCATTATCATTTCCACCTGGCACCCCAAACGTACCTACCACACCTTCTAAATGTTTCTCCTACTTTAGCATTTAGGTCCCCTACCACAATTACTCCCTCACATGGTTCAAAGGTTCCTATACATTCACTTAACATCTCCCAAAATCTCTCTCTCTCTCCTCTACACTCCTCTCCTCTTCAGGTGCATACATGCTCATTATGACCCACTTTTTGCATCTGACCTTATTTTAATCCACATAATCCTTGAATTTATACATTTATTTTCCCTCTTCTCCTTCCATAACTGATCCTTTACCATTATTGCTACCCCTTCCTTAGATCTAACTCTGTCAGATACTCCTGACAATCCCATTTATTTCTCCCCACTGAAACTCGCCTACCCCCTTCGGCTTTGTTTCGCTTAGGGCCAGGACATCCAACTTCTTTTCATTCATAACGTTAGAAATCATCTCTTATCATCCGCACTTCAACCACGCACATTCAAGCATCCCAGTTTTATAAAGTTTTTCTTCTTCTCTTTTTTAGTAATGTATACAGGAGAAGGGGTTACTAGCCCATTGCTCCCGGCATTTTAGTCACCTCATACGACACGCATGGAGGAAAGATTCTTTTCCACTTCACCATGGGAAATAGAGGAAATAAAGAATAAGAGCTATTAAGAAGCAATATTTCCCATAAGAAATAATGGAAATACAATTAATCCGTTCCAGAAACCCAAAAATATTCACACAAAAAATACATTTTATAGAGATTAATTACAGTTTTACATACAACAAATACTATAGTTTTTAATTATGTATAGTAATACATATAAGATAACATTTTTACTTACCTTTATTGAAGATTGGTGATGGCATCTGGAAGATAGGGAGGAGGAGAGAGGGAGTTGAGGTTAGTGTTTGGAAGGAGAATCCCCCTCCATGAGGACTTCAGGTAAAGCCCTCTCTGGGGTTACTTCCCTTCCCTGTCTTTTAATGCCACTAGGACCAGCTTGAGAGTCACTGGACCCCTGTCTCACAAAATAACTGTCCACAGTCCTCTGTTTCTGGCACCTCTTTAACATTTCCCTAAAATGGGACATGGTTCTGTCACTGAACTTGTTGCAAAGATGGCTTGTTTCAGCTTGCTCAGGGTGGTACTTCTGCACAAACATTTGGACATCATTCCACTTGGCACAAATTTCCTTAATCTTTGAAGAAGGCACCCCATCCACTCCCTATATTAACACCTTTCGCAACATCAGCTTCCTTGATTTGTTCTTTCTCTGACAGGATAAAACCGATGGTCGACTTGTTTTTCCCATACATCCTGGCAAGCTCAACAAGTCTCACACCACTCTCATACTTCTGTATTATTTCCTTCTTCACATCTATGGTGTTTCTCACTTTCTTTACCACATGGGTACCACTAGCAAGTTTCTTTGGGCCCATGGCAGCTTATTTCACAGTCCCACAAGCACTAAACACAACGAAATAATCGTAAAATGCGTGAATGAGAGCGCAGGTTATTGTTCACTCAAGCATAAACAAAGCTAGACTGCTCACGGCGCCTGTGCGGGGACGCGGACGGAGCGGGCCGGCAGACAGATCTTGTACCCGGTGGTCCGAAAATAGGGGCGCGTTCGATAATAGGGACACAGTTTGTCCGAAAAAATGGTCATATTTTCAAAACGTTTGATATGTGATACGTTCGATTTTTGAGGTTCCACTGTATTTAGCTGGATATTTGAAGCTTTATTTCCAAATTTAGAGTGAGTTTGTTGGTTGTTATCCATATAGACATTTTTAGTAGCTCGTCGTTTACAGTGCTCTAAGCATAGCTGGATTTGGGTGGGAGAAGACCTAAACAGTGTCATCTGCAAATAGATCAGGTTTAAGGAGTTTAGATGCATTGAGAAGATCATTGATGTCAATGCGAAAGAGTAGTGGGCCAGGGACACTACCCTGTGGGACTCCAACAACTACAGGCTGTGTAATGGAGTTAATGCCATTTGTATATATATATATCTATTGATGTCTATTGCTAAGATAAGATTTTAGGTAATCAAGGGAATGTCGTCTAATCCCTTAATGTTCAAGTTTTAGGCGCAAGAGATTGTGGTCTACTATATCAAATGCCTTCTATAGGTCTGTGAAGAGTCCCAGGGGATATTAATTTTTTTGAGTGTTGTGTATAGTACTTCAAACATTTGTATAGTTGCATCATTCATACTTTTTTCAGCCTAAATCCAAACTGGCAGGGGTTAAGTATGTTGTGGGATATTAGGTAGGAGTAAATTTGCTTATGTATTATTTTTTCGAAGATTTTAGATAGTAGGGGCAAGTTTGATGTAGGTCTATAGTTATTTATTCCATTTGGATTGCCTCCTTTGTGGATCAGGGTAACCCTTGCTGTCTTGAGTATGGATGAGAATATTGAAGATTCCACAGACTTGTTAAAAAGGGTTGCAATAATGGGTGACAGCACATGGGCTGTCACCCATGTGGCAGGTTATTTAGGTTTCCTGCCTTTATTTGAGTGTTTTAATGATGAGTGAGATTTCAGTAGATTTTATTGGGGCTAGATATAGAGAGTATTTGGGTAGCAAAGGGCTAGTAACTCCTTCTGTATAAATTGCTAAATGTAAAAAGAAAAACTTTACGAAAGCATTTCTTCTTTTTTGGGTCACCCTGCCTTGTTGGGAGATGGCCAGTGTGTTTAAAAAAAAAATAAAGAATGGGGATGAGAGTGCTTGAGAGGTGAACAATTGGAAGTGATGAATCAGTATGGTCATGTAATGCATAAGGAAAGAAAGGTAAGGATGTATGATAATTATAATACCTCTCAAGGGAGGCTCCTTGATGCTGTTGAGGGGCTCTTGATCTAAGGAACTGCTCTTTTTCTTCCCTTCCTTGGATCGAACCCAGTTGCCTCCCACTGTATGATATCTATGGGTTTAGTGCTTCCCTCCTACATAACAATAGTAATAAAAATAATAAGAATAGGAATAGAAGGGATAGAGGTTGGAGAAGCAGACTTCCAAAAAAATGACGGGCACATGTGAAGGTTGTTGAAAACGAGGAACAAATGTCATAATAATGTGGCTGGAACAGTTCACAGTACCCACAGATTTGAAAAAAAGTAAAAGAAGTAAAAAGTCAGGGTAGAGGGAAGGTTAAGAGACAACCAAGGTCAGGTCAAGTTATGCGCACTTGCCTCTTCAAGGGGGGCTCCTTGGTGTGGTGAAGAGGCTCTTGGTCTGAGGAATTAGACCTGTCGGTCTCCTTCCTCAGACCGAACCTAATTACCCCCCAATCCCCCCTTCCCTGTCCCATCCTCCCCTTTTTCCTTTCCTCCTCCTCCTCCCCACCCCTCCCTTTTGCCCTTCCTCTTTTTGGCCTTTGGGATTTTTCCCACAGGCACACTAGTTCATAGGTAGGGGGAAGGGTACTGGGGTCCATCCCATTCCATTGAGGTTCTTGGCAGTGGTGTAGTTTGCCGTGGGATCTGGATTGCCTGGGGATGTCCCGATCCCTCTCCGGTATCCCGGAGGGTGGCTTTGGGTGTTTTTCGGGCGACGGGTGTATCTCTGGAAGCCACCTTTTGGATTCCGGGGGTGGTGGCTGATGGAGGTATGCTTTGTGGCAGATATCCGGCCGCCCTCTCTTTTGTCCACCTAGGTAGCTCGGCAGATGTGAGGTTGCTATCCCGGATTGCTGGTTTACTGGCATGAAGGGTAGGGTATGGCACGGGTTCCATGCTGCATCTGTGCTACTTGCGGTGCTGAGGTCCTCTTGGGCGAGGAGGGAGATTTCTGGCCCTTTCATTCATCCTAGGAACTATCCCTCCCCAGTCCCCCCTTTTTTTATTCTTTTTTTTATTTTTATTTTCTTCTTTCTTTGTTTTCTTAAAAACAAAAAGAAAGAAGTAACCTAACCATGGAGTCCCAAATCCATGACCCGGCTACTCCCGGGCCCCTTATTGTTACCGCACCCTGTTCTGACCTCGCCTCGTCTTTTGGCCACTCTTTGGACACTCCTAAGGCCCCTGTACCTCTTGCTGGTGCTGTTTCGTCACCCGCTTAAGGTGCCGGGGTTTCGACTGACTCCTTTGATTTGTCTGACCTCCGCTCTCCTTTGACTATGCTTCTGGCCTCTCCCTCTACGGTGCGGCAATTTTCGAATTGCCAGCCCGTCCCACGTCGGACCAACTCTGGTCCCACTTCTAAACCCCAACGACAATCTCCTGATGATGTTACTTCGTTACCTTCCCATTCTACCTGGTAAAGACCGACACGTCACGCACTCCCTCTCCACACTCAGCTTCGGACCACACAATGGACTAAATTCTTCACTTTAAGACCGACTTCTGCTGCCTATCTTTCTGACCATAGTATTGGCAAAGCGCTCTATAGGGGAAGGAAGGCGGGGTAGGGGTCGTCCTCGAAAGGGTTGGAGAGAGGGGGTAAAGGAGGTTTTGTGGGCAAGGGGCTTGGACTTCCAGCAAGCGTGCGTGAGCGTGTTAGATAGGAGTGAATGGAGACGAATGGTACTTGGGACCTGACGATCTGTTGGAGTGTGAGCAGGGTAATACATGTATTTAGTGAAGGGATTCAGGGAAACCGGTTATTTTCATATAGTCGGACTTGAGTCCTGGAAATGGGAAGTACAATGCCTGCACTTTAAAGGAGGGGTTTGGGATATTGGCAGTTTGGAGGGATATACCTGGAGGTTACCTGGAGGTTATTCCGGGGATCAACGCCCCCGCGGCCCGGTCCACGACCAGGCCTATGTTGTGTATCTTTATATGTGTATGCTTCTAAACTGTTGTATTCTGAGCACCTCTGCAAAAACAGTGATAATGTGTTAGTGTGGTGAAAATGTTGAATGATGATGAAAGTATTTTCTTTTTGGGGATTTTCTTTCTTTTTTGGGTCACCCTGCCTCGGTGGGAGACGGCTGACTTGTTGGAAAAAAAAAAAAAAAGCTACCCACCTTCACACCCGTTGGCAACAACGTTGGTCTACTCTGCTCGGTAACAAACTTCATTCTATTAAACCGAGTACATAGGTTACTGGCCGTCTTCTTGTCACCAGTGTCGAGGTTGGGAGACTACTCTCTCCCGTCTTCGCATTGGCCATATTCGTCTTACTCATGGATATCTCATGGAAAGGCACCCTGCTCCTCTCTGTGAGAATTGTCAGGTTCCATTATCGGTCAGCCACATTCTATTAGACTGCCCACTTTATCAACGAGCACGCAGAATTTACCTCCGACGTCATCTTCGCTCCGCTGCTCTCTCTTTACCTTCCCTTCTTGCTGATGGACCCACCTTTCATCCGGACTCTCTCATTGACTTTTTGACAACAACTGACTGACTTCACAAACTCTGATGATACCTTCAGCCTTTTCTACCTCAGTCTCTTGCTACCCTCTGCCCCCGCACTATCCCCTGCCCCGCTGTTTTCTGTAACCTACTGATCATCCCTTCCCCATTCTGCCGCCCATTACCCTCGCTTCTTTCCCTACCCTGCAGCATTGTATAGCCCTTGTGGCTTAGCGCTTCTTTTTTATTCTAATAATATGCGCACTTGGAATGTTAGAATATTTGACGGAACTGTACTGTATACTAAGAGGCAGGTATCTATAGCAATAGAACTAGATTCTTGTTTTGGATGTTATGTATTAGGACTGATTCACTGAAATGGCATCTATGAAGGTTCATGACCCTAAGGGTTCAGTGTGTTATGATTATTAAAATAACTATGAAGGCTCAAAGAAGGATAGACAATGTTTGAAGAAGTATTGAGTTACAAAATCTTTTAATCACATGAGACTAAATTCAGAAAATGCCATTAAATGGCTATGAACTTGATTACATTAGAAGTTGAGATGCTTTCGCACCGCAACAGCAGGGCAAAGAAGCTGCTCACTCTGATGTTATGTTGTCATAGAATATTTTAAGGAAAGATGTTGATTGATACAAAACTGTTTATAAATGTATTTGAGAGAGAAATAAATACATGAGTAAATGATTTTGTATTGAAATTTAAGCAAAGAAAGGATGTGTGTTATATTTCTGGTTTTAAATTGAAATATTGCAAGTTGGGAAACATTAATGTCTTTCTATAGCAAGTTAATAAATAAAACATATTATTAGAGAAATAATTTTTTTGCAAGGCAGGGTGGGTGGGTGGATAAGCAATGGAATGAGATACTAACACTGTGATAGAGAAATGTAGTAAAGTATGTGGGACCCTTTACTGACGATATTTTACCCATTTGGTGAGTTTTATCTGTTTGTAACTTGATAAACCTACAGTGTGGACGATATATCAGTAATAAAGGATTTCATATGACTGCATTTGTATCATTTTTTGAAGTCAGTGTGGGAGAAATGTAACATAGTAAAACCTTGATTTAGCACACTTTGGAAACATTGGACAAAATCTGCTAGATGCAGAATTTTCTGCCCACAATTTCATGGGGTGGCTGGTAGGCAGTGACTGCCTACCAGACCACATTCAGATGTATTCTTCATCATCATTCCGTTTTCTCTGGATTACTGGACACCCTCTTTTTCCCATTTAGTATGGTAAATCAAGGGTTTACTGTTTTAATAATTTTTTATAAAATTAAATGAAGTAATGAATAGTACAGTATATTTGTGTAGTGAATTAAATAATAGTGCAACAAAGAGCTGGTTGGACACACACTCGTGTTAAATTGATCAGAATTGCCCAAGTATTTTTTTTTTTATTTTTGTGGAAACCAATGCATTTATTTTAATAGTATAGAGTAGGGCCCCACTTATACAGCAGGTTAGGTTCCAGGCTACCACCAGAAAGCCAACCACCAGAAAGCAGAACTCCATTTTTTCCACTTATAAATGCATATAAATGCCAGGTAACATATATTAAGTTAGCAATAGACCTAGGCATTAAAAGACAGTAAAAAGTAAAATACAGCCTCTCTTCACTTAGTGACGTACTCATTTACCGACAACTCGGACTTACAACCTCTTAAAGGGGAGCTCCTTGACGTGGCAAAGAGGCTCTTGGTCTAAGGAATTAAACCCATTGGTCTCCTTCCTCAGACCAAACCTAAGTACCCCCCAAGCCTCCCTTCCCTATCCCATCCTCCCCCATTTTCCCCCTTTTTTCCCCCTTTCCTCCCCCCTCCCAACCCTCCCCTTTCCCCATCCCATTTGTAGTCTTTGGGGTTCTCCCCTCTGGCATTACAGTTTCTAGGTAGGAAGTGTGCTGGGGTTCATCCCACTCTGTGGGGTCCCTCAGGGGTAGTGTAGTTTGCCATGGAATCTGAATTGTCTGGATCTCTGAGAAGTGGGCAGGGTGTCCTGCAGATGATGGGTGTATCTCTAGAGGCTGCCTGTTGGTTCTGGGAGATGACAGCCAAAGGAGGTATACTTTGTGGCAGGTTTCTGACTGCCTATTCTTTTGTCCTCCGAGGTGGCTCAGTAGATGTGAGGTTGGTATCCCGGAGCTCTGGTTTACTGGCATGAAGGGTAGGGTATGGCACGGGTTCCACGCTACATCTGCACTGCTCGTGGGCTCAAGGCCCTCTCGGATGAGGGGAAGAACATACAGCTCTTCTGTGCCTTCTAGTGACTGTCCCTCCGCTGTCCGTCTTTTTTTTCTCTTTCCTTCTTTCTTTTTTTTTCTTTAAAAATAACAAGAAAGAAGCACCACCATCATGGAGTTTTCATTCTGTGATAACCCTCCTCCTCCCAGGCCCCTTTCTGTTCCCAGATCCTGTTCTTACCCGGCTTCATTATTGGACCATTCTCTAGTCTTCTCATACCCCTGTATCTTCTGCTGGTGTTGCTTCGTCACCTACTCCAGGTACTGAGACGCCACCCGTTTCTGTTAATGCCTCTGTCTCTTGCATGTCTTTAACAATTTGTCTGGCTTCCCCTAATATGGTGCGATGGTTTTTGGATCGCCTACCTCCCTCAGGCCGGACCACCCACGGTACTGCTCCTAAACATTCCAGACCACCTACTGATGATAATTCTTTAATGTCTACCCAAAAATTACCTAGGTGACACCAACTCCCTTTGTGCACCATGTTTACAAGTATGCAGTGGACTAAATTCCCCCTACAACCGACATCTCCAGCTGATTATCTTTCTGACCATAGTATTGGTAAAGCTCTTTTATGACACGTAGGCCAAAATATATCCTTTCATGCTCTTTGAAGTGGTACACCTGTTGTTACAGTTTAGAATTCAGAACAATCTCATGATCTTTCCCATATTACTTCCATAGATAACATTCCAATCACAGTTCATAAATATGCTTCACTCAGTTCTTGCAGTGGTACGGTGGTTTTACCACATACCATTGTACAAAGTGATTTTCTGTCTTGCGGTGATGATAATTTAGAGCAGTTAGCCCTTCAGGACCTTCCTGTTCTGAAAGTGGATATATACATCCTGCCTGCTCACGGGCAGAGGTGCTTTCCCAGTAACATTGCCTGCTTAACCTTTGACTGCCGTTAACTCCTGTCCTTCATTTATATTGCGGGCCATCGCCTTGAAGTCTGTAAAGTAGTCCCTACTCCCCAACAGTGTCGGAAGTGCTGTGTCTTAGACACCCCGCTAAATACTGCAGATCTGCGGCGGAGTGCCCAGTCTGCAGTGCCGCAGATCATGTCAATACATCTTGCAGTCTTCTTCCCTCTTGTCTCAATTGCAATGAATCTCATCTTTCCTCTTCACGCTGTTGTCAAGTCTGTTGTAATGAATGAGAAATCTGTTATCTTAAAGGGAGTGAAGGCCTTATGTATGCTATGATGTCTCTCAGCTCTGCCTTCAGGGAAATCTTCTTCATGTTCCTTATTCTCTAGTAGCTTGGAAACCTCCAACCTTGACGGTCCTCCCGCCTACCAGCTCCTCTGCTACCGTGTCTTCTGGGGTCACCCCCGCTTCTAATTCCTTTGCGGTTTTACCCTCTGAAACTCCTACCTCCATACCTCATCCTACTTCTACTTCTTCATCTCGCTCGTTGGCTCTCAATCTGCAAGACCTCTCAAGCCTACACCTTCTTTGCTCCTATCACCTGTGAAGCTGTGAAGTTGAATCTATCTTCTACCTCGGTGTCCAGTTCTCACCCCCTTTCTAACTCACACATGAAGGTGGAAGTTCGCCCGCCCCCCTTGTGTAGTCCCCTCTTCTCGTTCCCCCTCAGTCTTCTTCCCTAGTTACCTTCCAACCTCCTTCCTCTCCTGTTCCACTGCAGGATTCTTCTGCCCCTGCATCTCTCCAGGTTCATACTCCTCGCCCCTCTCAGACCTCTTTGGTTCCCTCCATTGTCTCCCTGATCTATACTTGCTCTACCTCACCTGTCTCTGAAATCATGGTATTGGCATCTTCCTTATCCACTGAGACACTTGATGCTATCTCCAACTATATTGCAGAGACAAAACCCTTGATGGACACTAACACGCCTCCTTCTACCCTTTCTTTTTCACAACCTTCACAACAATCTTTTACTTCACAGTATTCTCATTCCTCCTTCTTTACATGCTTACTGTTACCCCCACACGTTGACTTCACTGACCCTAATAGTCCATAGATTTTTATTGCTTCTTCTTGTTGGCATACCTATCTTTGTAAATAATGTTGTATTTACAGTGGAATATTTGTGGCTTCAAGGGTAATCAGGGAGAGCTCCAAGTGTTGCTCTCCCAGTTTTCCCCATATGTGTTGGGTTACAAGAGCCCAAAATTTGGCCAGCTGTTATTCGTCCCATTTCGGGCTATGTGCTGTAACATATTCTGATCCCTTTCCTGATGAATCACTTAATGAGAGCTGCTTGTGCACATTGGTATACCGTATCAACAGTTTTTTGTTCATTTTGTTCTGCATTATACTGCAGCTCATATTTATTTGCACAGATGGTATACAGTTTGCTCTATATATCCCCCTCCCGTGCATTCTGTATCTCGGGTATTGCATTTTAGATCTCTTCTCTACTGCTGCCCATCTTTGTTGTTAGATGATTTTAATGCTCACCATCATCTATGGGGAGGGTCCCACTGTGACTCGTGGTGATCAGTTGGAGAGACTTCTCGCTTCTCATTCTCTTCATGTTTTAAATATGGGTGCTCCTACCCATTTTGACCCTCGTACTCAGTCTCTCTCTTCCATTGATCTTTCTATCTGTTCCTTGTCAATTGCACTTGATTACACTTGGTCTGTTTTCCCGGATTTACACGACAGTGATCACTTTCCTATTCTTCTTACTTCTACTACGTGTTCTCGACCGTCTTGTAGCCCTTGTTGCAGTTTGCACGAGCGAATTGGGACTTATAATCTCATCTTGCCACTTTTTGTGGGGACCCTCTTTCGTCCTCTATTGATGAACTAGTGCACCAGTTTTCGACCTTAGTTTTGACTGCAGTGTCAGGTTCTATTCCTCAAACCTCAAGTGGGCATTCTCAGACATTTGTGCCTTGGTGGTCTGCATGTGCCCATGCAGTGTGTTTGAAACATGCTGCATGGGGCTATTATCAATGTAATCGGACCTCAGATTGTCTTTTGGATTTTAACCCTTTGTTTTGGTCATATATATACGTCTTACGAGCCACCATGTTTGACGTATGTATACTCAAAAATTCTAGCAGATTCAAATCAAACAGGAGAAAGCTGGTAGGCCCACATGTGAGAGAATGGGTCTGTGTGGTCAGTGTGCACCATATAAAAAAATCCTGCAGCCCACAGTGCATAATGAGAAAAAAAAACTGATCGGGTTTTTGGATTAAAACACCAACTTTGTGGTGTATTTTCGTATAGTATTTATGGTTGTATTCTCGTTTTCTTGATCTCATTTGATACAATGGAAAACATATTATAGAAATAGAGGTGATTTTGATTGGTTTTACTATGAAAAGAATCTTGAAATGGAGCTCAAAGTACGGGAAACCTTTGATTTTTGCCGATGTTCAAAAGTAAACAAATGATATCATTGTCCAATAAATGTCCAAGTAGCCATTCTAATATGCAGTCGTGAATGGGTTGACATTATTTATACAATTATTAAAATATTGCAGTAGTCTGCATAACAGTAAATCTCCTATTTTTTGTTTGAATAAAAATTCGAAATAGAAAGCAAGAGCAATATCAGAGGGGCCTGGAGACGTAACTGATGAACAAAGAAAATGTTATTTTAGAGCCGGGAATGTCTGCATTGTTCATTCTGGACCCTATTTTGAAACTGGCATATTTTTTAATTTGCGTGAAATTGGCCAAATTGCAAATTTCTAACCACAGTAGTTGAAATATGTAAATGGGCAGTTTCTTGTACTCAATTGATGCAACAAATGGAATTCTAAAGAA